GCTCTCAGTTCTCCTTGGAACCTCAAAAGTCTGGCGTCACCTGGAGCAGAGGCTGGGTCTGATCCCCAGCAGGTGACTCATCCCCTCCAAGGGAAAGGCATGAATGGGATGCTGTAATTGACTCCAAAAGAGCTCATTTCTTACCAATTTTCTTCATTTTTTGTCCTTTCACACTAAAAAAGGATCAGTAAAAAACACTCAGGTCTGATCACGGCACTCATATTTTTATTATTAATAAAATATTTTTACTATTAATCAGATATTTCTATCATAATTCCAAATTTTTTTACTAAGCAGATATTTTTTGTTGGTAATCCAATATTCTAATTATTAATCTGATACATTTATTATTGGTCTCATATTAATCAAATATTTAATCCATAATCAAGTATTTACATTATTAATCAGATAACTTTATTATTGATAATACAATTATACTGGTCCAATATTTCATAGTCAATATTTTATTATTATCATACATCTTTATTATTAATAAAAATGTTTTTAATAATAATTTTTAAAGGAATCTGCTCTTCTGGGCCAGCAGTCCCCAGGCTATTTTATTGTCAATATAACATTGTGTTATTAATCAGATAATTTTTAATTAATTATATTATTGTATTATTAATACTTTTTATTAATAATCTGATTGCTTTATTATCTATGAAATTTTATTTCTCCTGATTAGAGATGAGAAACACTCTGGCTGCACAATTAATTTATCCGTAAAAGCAAAGTCCTGTGACCATCCAGAATATGCAGAATTACTCCACTTTTTATCCTGAAAGATGAGGTTTTGCCTGAATTAAAGCCTAATCCCTTGGATAAAAGCAGAATTGTGATGATGCAGAGTGGCTTTCATTTGGATCCCAGGTTTCACCTGGATCATGAAGCCTCTTGAAAGCCATGAAGCTGAACCCAGGTGAGACCCAGTTTTGAGCTACAACATTTGGAGCTCCCTCCATGCAGATTCCAAAGTGCCTCCAGACTTTGCTGCGAGTTTGGTTTAGCCCTTTGTGGCTCCACATGGAATCATGGAATGCATTGGTGTTGGAAGTTGGGTTTTTTTCTTGTTCTTTCCTTATTATCTGTGGAATTTATTTACGTTAAGCTGCTAAGAAGCACCAATGGCTGGATGCTTCAGATAGGGAGGAGGAACCCCACTGGTTTTTTGGGACTTTGTCTGGGACGGGGGAAAGAGAGCAGAGACACCGCGAGAACAGGGGCAGGTAAAAAGAGATGGGGTTGGGGGCAGCTGCTCTCTCACTGCTGGGATTCGTGGGAGGACAGTCAGACCTTCGTCTTGGAAAGGAATTTGCTGCCACCACCATAACCCAGCGGGGAACCTTTCTTCTGCTGCTGGGCCCCACATCCCCTGCCCTGCCAGGACATCCCGCAGGTTCCAGCTATTTGCCCTGGAGTTTTGATAAATTCTTGTCCACTGCCCCAGGATTTCTGCTCATCCCTGCCGTTCTGTCCTGCTGCTCCTGAGGGTCCTGCTGGGGCACCGGGACCGGAGAAGCAAAGCCTCTCCTCCATCCCTTCCCGCCTTTGGACAAAGCCGCCATTGCCGCGTGCTCCCCGAGCCTGCCCTGCAGCGCCCCCTGCAGCCACGGGGAGATCACCGCACCTGCCCTGCCCGCCGGGAGCCAGCAGTGCCCCTGCTGGCTGCGCCCGGAACTGCGCCAAGCGGAGCGCGCCGCAGCCGGAGGGCTGGGACTGGGCTCGGGCTCTGTTTGGAGCACTTGCATTGGCCTAGTTTCTGACCACTTTAGTTTTGGAGAAATCCAGCAAAATTTGCAAATTTCTAGCTTGGGTGGCCAGGCTCAGCCAGGGCGAGTGGCCGCAAAGAGAAGCCATTTTCCTGGGGCAAAAATAGTCATTTCCCCAAGGTCTGGGCATCAGATGAAAGCTGGCATTTGGGGCTCTAAGGACTTGCATTGGCCTAGTTTCTGACCACTTTAGTTTTGGAGAAATCCAACAAAATTTGGAAATTTCTAGCTTGGGTGGCCAGGCTCAGCCAGGGCGAGTGGCCACAAAGAGAGGCCATTTTCCAGGGGTAAAAGAAGTCATTTGCCCAGGCTCTGGGCATCAGATGAAAGCTGGCGTTTGGGGCTATAAGGCCTAGCTGGGATCTAGCTTCTGACCACTTTGGTTTTGGAGAAATCCAGCAAAATTTGGAAATTTCTAGCTTGGGTAGCCAGGCTCAGCCAGGGCGAGTGGCCGCAAAGAGAGGCCATTTTCCAGGGGAAAAAGAAGTCATTTGCTGCTGTTTCTTTGCTTTATTACACACACCAGTAAAGAACTGTTATTCCTACTCCCTTATCTTTGCCTGAGAGCCCCTTAATTTCAAAATTCCGATAATTTACAGGGAGGGGGTTTACATTCTCCATTCCAAGGGAGGCTTTTCTATCTTCGCTAGTAGATACCTTTCTTGTAAACCAAGACAACTGGGATGGAAGGGACCTTAAAGCTCATCCTGTTCCACTCCCTGCCATGGGCAAGGACATCTTCCACTATCCTGGGCTGCTCCAAGTCCCATCCAGCCTGGCTCTGGACACTTCCAAGGATGGGGGATCCTTCAGGAAATCCATTCCAAGGCCTCACCCCCCTCACAGGGAAGAACTTCTTCAGAATGTCCAGCCTAACCCTCCCCTCTTCTGTCTCCTAACCCACCCCTTGTCCCATCACTTCTTTCCAAGTCCCTCTCCAGCTCTCTTGGAGTTTTCAATGAAGGAAAGTTACCATTAAAGATCACTTCCTATCAAAATAGTTCCATAATTCCATTGATATTCTGTGGTTGTTTTTGTGACTCTACAGCCCTTTCAAAAAGGTCTCTACAGTGGATTTCCCAGAAATCTGGGTCTCTCCCCATTACCCTCCTGCCCCTTCCAGGACTCTTCACATTTGGAATTCTTTCCAAAAGAGAGGATCCTCCTTCCCTCCAGCTAAAGACATTAAATATTCCCAATGGGATTGGGACACTCCAGTCATCTTAGTGGAGGTAGCTAAACAAAGGTGGCATTATTAAATTGAGCTTCTTGAACAGACTTTTGACATAAAATCAGCTGGTCTGTGCTTTGTTAGAACTTTTGATTGAACTTTAAGGAGATTCTGGGAGAAATTTAGGGAATATCTTGCTTCCTGTGATAAAAATCACCACTGAATAAGACCACAGAATCATGGAATATCCTGAGTTGGAAGAGGCACACAACAATCATCAAGTCCAACTCAAGGCTCTGTACAGGACAACCCCAAAATCAGATGTTGGCCAAGAAATGTTTCCTCAGGTACATCCCATCTCACCTTAACTTGGGACTCCAGGGGAAAACTGAACCAAAAGTGAGATGAGACTTTGTTATTCCCAGACTTTCTGCTCCTTTCTTTATCTGCAGCTGCAGTGACCAAAAAAAAAAAAAAAAAAAAAAAAAAGCTATACAGAGATACAGAGGATCTGCCCCCAAGATATTTAATGAGTGACTCCTGGAGGGAACAATAGATCTGAGGTATAGCCATGTGTCCTGGCTGACTAGTCAGAACAGACATAAAGGACTTGGCCCTAAACCCCATTTTTGCAGCAGAGTATCTGCATTTGTAATTCTTTTCCAGCCACCTTCTTCCACTTTTTCACTTTTTCCAGGAGCTTTTTCCTGTGGTTGGATCAGATTTCCATGACTTCATTTATATGGAAAGTTCTATCAAACATCTCATCAGAGACATCAGAGTCCTGCCCTTCCCCAGACCAAAACAAACACACCAGACAGGGTTTCAAGCTTTTAGTTGCCAAAGATAAAAGTTCCACACAGACTGAGATTAAAAGCTCTGAGAAAGCCCAAGGAAGGGACACCATCACAATATCAGCATCCAGCAGAGGAGTGAGATCCCTGGACAGTCCAGGGACAGTTGTGCAGGGGGAGCTCAGGATGATGCACAGCCCGTCCAGACCAGTGGTATCAGCAGGAAAGTCCCATTTCCCCTGACAATGAGGGGAGACAGCTTCATCCCGTTCCACTGGTGAGAATTTCCATCCAAATTTTACTTGTGGGCAGCATCTCCAGGGGAACCTGAGCCACTTCCATAGGCAGACCAGTAACCTGGGCTTGGAGAAGACCACTCTCCTCCAGACCTGCATTCCTCAATCTCATCTCTGCAGCTGGGTGTCCCATCTCCACAGGTCCCTCCACCATAACAACCGTCTCCTCCAGAGCAATCCCAACCACCTTCTCCCCCACTCCCAGACATGCAGGAGCCAGCAGAGCTCGATCCCCAAACTCCAGAGGTGGAGCTTCCTCCTCCTCCAGAGATTGAGCCTCTCCTGCCTGAGCTTTCTACTCCATACCCCGAGCCTCCATCATATCCAGAGACTCCCCCATATCCTGAGCTCCCTCCGTACCCTGAACCTCCTTCTCCTCCACCAATGCACCCACCACTGCCATAACTGGATCCACCACTGACTGAGCTTCCTCCTCCTTCCCCACCACCAGAGATGGAGCCTCTCCAGCTGCTCCCACCTCCAGAACTCATGCCCCCACTGTGGGAGCTGCATCTGCCGCTCCCAGAGCCAGATCCATAGCCACCGGAGCTCTGGCCACCTCCAGACATGGAGCCTCTTCTGCCACAGCTGCTCCCACCTCCAGAGCTCATCCCACCACCGTGGGAGCTGCATCTCCCACTCCCAGATCCTGATCCATAAGCACCAGAACTCTGACCACCTCCGGACATGGAACCTCTCCTGCCAGAGCTACTCCCACCTCCAGAGCTCATCCCACCACCGTGGGAGCTGCATCTGCCACTCCCAGATCCTGATCCATAAGCACCAGAACTCTGACCACCTCCGGACATGGAACCTCTCCTGCCAGAGCTACTCCCACCTCCAGAGCTCATGCCCCCACTTTGGGGGCTGCATCTTCCACTACTGGAGCCAGATCCATAACCACCAGAGCTCTGGCCACCTCCAGATATAGATCCTCTTCTGCCAGAGCTACTCCCACCTCCAGAGCTCATGCCCCCACTTTGGGGGCTGCATCTGCCACTGCCAGACCCTGATCCATAACCACCGGAGCTCTGGCCACCTCGGGACATGGATCCTCCACTGCCTGAACTTCCTCCTCCTCCACAGATGGAACCTCCACTGCCTGAACTTCCTCCTCCTCCAGATCCTGAGCCTTTCCCACCTCCTGAAATTGAACCACCACCACCAGAGCTAGACCCCCACCCTCCAGAGCTGCTGCCACCCTTGGACATGGAGCCTCCACTGCCTGAGCTTCCTCCTCCTCCAGATCCTGAGCCTTTCCCACCTCCAGAAATGGAACCACTACCACCACCAGAGCTAGACCCCCACCCTCCAGAGCTGCTGCCACCCTTGGACATGGAGCCTCCACTACCTGAGCTTCCTCCTCCTCCACATATGGAGCCTCCACTGCCTGAGCTTCCTCCTCCTCCTGATCCTGAGCCTTTCCCACCTCCAGAAATGGAACCACCACCACCACTGCAAGACCCCCACCCTCCAGAGCTGCTGCCGCCCTTGGACATGGAGCCTCCACTGCCTGAGCTTCCTCCTCCTCCAGATCCTGAGCCTTTCCCACCTCCAGAAATGGAACCACCACCACCAGAGCTAGACCCCCACCCTCCAGAGCTGCTGCCACCCTTGGACATGGAGCCTCCACTGCCTGAGCTTCCTCCTCCTCCAGATCCTGAGCCTTTTCCACCTCCAGAAATGGAACCACCACCACCAGAGCTAGACCCCCACCCTCCAGAGCTGCTGCCACCCTTGGACATGGAGCCTCCACTGCCTGAGCTTCCTCCTCCTCCACAGCCTGTGCCTTTTCCACCGCCAGAGATAGACCCACCCCCACCTAAGCTGGATCCACCCCCTGCAGAGCTTCCACCTTTTCCCCCTCCAGTGACTGGCCCCTTTGTTCTGCTCCCACTGGTACCATCAGAACTCATTCTCCCCTTCACATTCTTTATGCCTCCAAAAACTCCAGAAATTCTGGCATTGTGGTCAATGACACCTGGAAGAAATGGAAATTACATTCAATTTATCCTTTTTACCTCAGAAAATTCTGAGCAGGGCTGATTTAAACATCATCCTTCCTACCCTGGTGATCATGGACTTATCTTTGAAGGGGCCAACAAGAATCTCCCTTAGTAGACATTAATATATGGAACATTTTCTCATTTTTCTGGTGTTTTAGCTTTTTTTTTTTTAACATCATTTATGTCTTATTTCACCCATGAACACTCAGTGCAGCCTATCCTTTACAAAGGCCAAGCCTGTGTTTCTCTCTCCTTCAGCTTCCTTATCTTTCACACAAATTTTAGGACTAGTTTTTATTTCCTTCCCTTGGGCCCTGCATCAAATAGACCTATGGGTTAAATGTGGTGTTTCCCATTTCCTCCAAATTTATTAGGAATTAGCCAATAATTCTAAAGCCACTTGTTACATTAATGTGTGTTCCCAAACTCCCCTTTGCAACCTTTCCTGAATTTGGATGGGAACTGGGACAGTTTGTTCCAATGGTGTCAAGACCACAAAGTAGGAACAGTTTCCTGTAAAAAAAACCTGAGAAAATTGGGATACTCACAGATCGTGGCTGGTGATCCTTCCTGGATCCTGTGGAGGAAAAGTGACACTGAAGTAAGGCAGCCAATAAAATCAGAATTAAAATTCAGGTTGGTCTTTATCAATGATCTGCAGAAAGGTGACTCGTCCCAGGCCCAGTGCATCCCAGAGATTCTAGTGACAGATCCATGGACATGCTGCTTTGTCTGGGTGCTTCACCCAGGGTGGATTTTGCCCCCACCTGTTCTCCTCCTCCTCAAGGAGTGATCGATACATGGCAATCTCAATGTCCAGGCCCAGCTTCACATTCAGGAGCTCCTGGTAATCGTGGACAAGCTGAGAAAGGTCATCCTTGGCCTGTTGGAGAGCATTTTCCAGCTCCTCTAGCTTTTCCTGGCCGTCCCTGACGGCCGAGCTCCCACGGTGCTCAGCATCTTTAATGGAGTCCTGGAGGCTGGAATTCTGCAGAGGGAACAAAGGGAATGTGACCATGTCCCATCTGTGGGGAGGATTTTATAAGAGAATCGTGGAATATCCATTGCAGGAGGGAACCACAGGAATCATCAAATCCAACTCCTATCCCAGCACAGGAAAACCCCCAAATCCCATAATTTTCACACCCTCCTGGCATTCCTTGGAAATCAAAATGCTTTCCTCAGTGACAGAAGAGCAAAAATACATTGGACTGGGTAAACTAACACAACTAAAACCCAATATAGATAAAAAAATATAAATCTGCTTCAATTGGAAGAGAAAACTCCATCCCTAAGTTTGCCTCCAAACAACTGGCTGCTATATACTGCACTGAGATCCCACAGAAAAGGGGCTTAAACCATTAGTCCTGGTGGAAAATATCAGCTTTACCCTTTTCCTTGCGATTTCAATTTCTGGTTGGAGTCTTTGGATTTGCCTGGCAAGTTCCTGGATTTCCTGGTGACTGTTCCTCAGCTGCTCTCGTTGACTCACCCACATGTTCTGCAGGTCCTGGTACTGATGGGAAGAGGACACAAGACATTTTTGGTTTCTTTTCCAATGAGGAAATTTGTGTTCCTGTTTCCCTGGCGTGCACTCACCCTGCCCCGGTACATGGCATCCACTTCAGCCGTGCTCCTGTGGGCTATCCCCTCGTATTCCTGCCTGACCTCCTCAATGATTCCATCCATGTTCAGGTCCCTGTGGTTGTCCATGGACAGAATAACATCAACGTTCCCAGCAACCGTTTGCAGCTGGGACAGCTCCTGCAGGGAAAACCAGATTAGGGATTTTAACAGTCCTTGTGGTCAGTCCAGGTCTTTATGAGGAAAAAATGGGACCTTGTGGCCAATTTTCCACTGGAATTTCTCCACCTGCAGCCCTCAGGTACCACTGTACCCCCACCACTTGTAATTTGCAAGGTCTTCTAGCCTTCAGGACACACCAGTCCCCTTTTCACTCACAAAAGGCCAAGGATAATTAACTCTCAAAGCCAAAAAATCCCACCCAAGCAAAATTTCTGGGAATCTCCAGAAGGTGTGTCCTTCAAGACCTGAGGGTAAGATTTGAATCACTCACAGCTTCATATAAACACCGGAGGAACTCCAGCTCCTGCCTCAGGATATCCACTCGGACATCAAACTCCATTTTTCCCATGTAGGCACTATCCAGTTCCTGTAAAAAAAAAACCCCAAAATATTGTAATATTTGCATTTTGTTGACCCAAATGCTACACTGAAGTGCAATTCTTGGGATATTTCCGTAAAGCCTTCATTCCTGGAATCAAATAATGGCCTAGAGATCTCAGATTTCATTTGAAAAGCAAGGGGAACAAAAGGAAAGCATTTAAGATTAAAAAATTGGCTGGGAAATGAGTACCACAGCTACAGCAAAAAATCTGTTCCTGGAGAACATGAGAAATGGGAAAACACAATTTTTATTCATACTTCTAGTAAAAAGTTGCCTAAATTTTATCTTCACAGATAGTTTTAGTTTTCTAAACCATCTACAGACATTATTTAACTTAATAACAATATTCCACCTGGACTGGGATTGAGTAAATACGGGAAAACCAGCACTTTTTAGATATTTGTCCTACAAAGGACCAATTCATTCTCTAGAGGAAATAATCCCTCCTCAGTCTTGTTGTGGCTTTCAGTTAGTTTGGTTAAAATTAGACAAACTCAGCAAAAACTTCAGCTTTTGAGAACCTTGGCAACCACCCAGATATTGTTTTATTTCTAAGGCTTTGATTTACTCGGGATCTCAGGTCAATTCACCTTTTTAAGCTCCACAAACTCCTCCTCCTTGGACGTGCGTTTGTTGATCTCATCCTCGAATCTGCAGGACAAAAGGAGGTAGATTATTATCTATTATCTATAATATATTATCTATCTGTTATCTATTATTAATTAATAAATTTAATTAATATATCAATTACCCTTAATTATTGATATTAGTTGTTAAGTCAGGTGGACAAGTAAACAACATAATCACTCAAAGGCTGAATGCGTTGAGTTTTCATTTTACTTTAATTGCAATTTCTGGCAAGTGCAAACCCTCTGCAAAAAGATGCACTAAACAGCCCAAAAAATCGGGTCAATACAGATCACTTCAAAATTTAGTAATTCTGAACTAAACTTTCCATTTTTCAGAGCTGTGGGTGGACATAAATTATGTAAACCAGAAAAGGTGACAACTCTTCCCAACCTGACCCCAAGTTCAGCTCTGTCCCTTCCCACCAGGGCCCTGTGAGTGGAATCCTGGGTCACTCACTGCTAGGGGGGAGAAAGAAAAGGGGGAGTCTGGGAAGGAAAAAGGATGGGAGAGATCATTGCAAACTTTGGTTTTCCTCTCATTTTTGGGATTTCAACCCTTACCAAACTCTTCCAGCATCAAAGTCAAGCCCCATAATGCACCTGCAGCAGTGCAGAGCTAAGAAACTTCAAACTCCTGCAGATGCAAAGCTGAGCTTTGCAATCCAAGGGCATATGAGCATCACCTGGGAAAATCCCAGCACCTGTTTTCCCAGATTTGTGACTATTCACCTGTTTTTGTAATCCTCAACAAGCTGGAGCATGTTGTAGGCTTCGGGATCCAGCTGCTCCTTCTGGCTCTGGAGTGTCTCGAGCTGCCGCTGCAGGTTGGTGATGTAGGACTGGAAGAAGTTGTTGATGTTTCTTCTCTCCTCAGGGCCAGAGCTTTGCTGCTGCAGAAGTTCCCACTTGGCCAAGAGTGCCTGATTCTGCCGCTCCAGACATTGAACCTGGAAGGGGAAGCAGATCCAGAGGGGCTGCATGTCTCCAGTTGGCATCTCTGCCATGGAGATGGGCTGGGAGAGCTGAGGGTGCTCACCTGGAGAGGAGAAGGGAAAAGAGACCCTGGAGCCCCTTCCAGTTCCTAAAGGGGCTCCAGGAGACCTGGAGAGGGACTGGGGACAAGAGCCTGGAGAGAAAAGACAAGAGGGCAGGGATAGGTGCAATATTGGGAAGAAATTCCTCCCAGACAGGGTGGTGAGGCCCTGGAATGGATTTCCCAGGGGATGCTCCTTTCCTGGAAGTATCCAAGGCCAGGTTGGACAGGGCTTGGAGCTCCCTGGGACAGTGGAAGGTGTCCCTGCCCATGGCAGGAACTGGATGAGCTTTAAGGCCCCTTCCAGCCCAAATCATTCCACGATTTTATAATATTGACCAGGTGATAAGCTGGATACCCAAAAGTTTAGAAGGGAAAGAAGAGTCACAGACATGCTAATTTTTCAGGACTATGGAATCCTAAACCTCCTCAGTGTAACCAGCACCTTCTGTCCAGTGAAATAGGAAACCCTGAAGTCCCCACATGCAAAAGAGAGAAGCAGAGACAGAGACACCTTCCAGATACCAGTGAGTTGGAAAAGCTTTCATGGCTGGTTTGAGTAGAAGCAGGAGAGAAGACAAAACTGGAGAGATGGAAAGTAATGAAAAAGCTGAAGATGGACCACCTAGTAGAGGGCAGGGGTTCCAAACCAATAAGTGATTTTTTAATAAATCAGAGAAATTGAATTCACTTGCAATTTCTGGTGAGTGCAAACCCCTGCAAGGAGAGGCACTAAATCAGCCTGTTCTTGCAAAGTTTGGCTTTGCCTGAGAAACAAATATCAACTCATCAAGATGTCCAAGTGCCTCACCCATTTTTCCTGCTGGCATCAACAACCTCCAGGCACCAGAACATAGGAATATATATTCCCAGAAACCCCTTTCTTCCAAAGAGGAGTGAGTCTATGTGCCAGTGACATCTCAGCAGTTTATTGTCCTGCCACAAAAGACAACTTCAAGACTTTTACCCCAAGGCAAAAAGTGATTTACCCAGCGGTGTTCACAGGGACCCATTGTGAGCTTCACAACAGCCTGTGGGAATTCAGCCAATGCTGGGATTTTTGTGGGGAAAAGATGGAACATGAAGGTGTCCCCATGACTCACACTTGCCTTACACTTCCCCCTTCCCAGATAACAGCACAGAAACCAGGACTCACCTTCTCGATGAATGATGCAAATTTGTTGTTGAGAGCTTTGATCTGCTCCCTCTCATCTGAGCACACTCGCTGGAACTCGGGGTCCACCTGGAGCCGTATTGGCCTCAGCAAGTTGGTGTTGACATGGACTTCCTCAATGCCTCGGAGAATTCCAGCCTGTCCCAATCCCTGTCCAGCCCCTTGTTCCCCTACACCAAGACCTCCTCTGACTACCTCCCTGCCTGAACCTCCTCTGTAGGTGCCACCAAGCCCTGTTTTACCACTTTGAAAACTTCCCACGAAATATCCTCTTCCACCAAAGCCTGTCTCAGGTTGTCTCCAGCCACCAAACCCAAGGCATCTCCCATATCTTACTCCTTCTCCTCCGTAGCCTCCACCAGTATAGACATTCCTGAACCCTCCAAAGTTGTGGAGGCTCCTGCTGCCATACCCATGCCCAAACCCTCCGAATCTCCCATCTCCACCACCCAAGGTCCCGCAGTGAGCAGAAGAAGAACTGAAACTTCCGTTCCCATATCCGGAGAAATATCGTCTCATGGCAGCACTTCCAGGTGGGAGAGCCGGTGGAGGAAGTGGTGAAACAGGAGGAGAAATGAGAATGAAGGATCCTCAGCTACTTTAGAGGAGTATGGAAGTTCTCCTTTATACGTTCTGGAGGAGCTCATCTCCATTCCGTAGTAATTAGCAGGTCTCTAATGTTGTTATTGGGTTTGGTTCATCAGGCAGCAATTAATGGCTGCCCAGAGAGGTCAGATAAACACCAACACTAGTGGGGCAGTTGTGAAATTCCCCAAATCCTGCCTGACTCATGAGCTTTGCTGACGGATCTCCTTATCTCATTAACCTCCATCCGTAATTACAGTTACCTCTGCTCATCCCCACAGCTCATGCTCTCCCATATTTCCCCACCTCTTTTGGTATTTCAAGGGGCACAAGACCTTGATGGTCCTTGGGGGTGTCTGACCTCCCTTCACTGCATCACCAGGAGTACCTGCTGCACCCTTTGCTTCACATTCCTGTTCTCTCTTTCCCAGAATATCCCAGGAGCAACTTCTGCTTCTCACAGGGAGGATCCACCCCTCTCCCCATCTCTGTGCCAGACTCCACCTTTCAAACATTCAGTGGCTATGGGCATATGGAAAAGCATTCGGGAACCAAACCCCACTGCCGGCAGCACCACTTGGAGGCTCCAGCCTGGATTAATTTCTTGAAAAGTCACCAGATGTGGTTCCTCTAAAACCACCTCTGGAACCACATCCCCATGGGAAGAACCTCCTCTTTGACCCTTACATGACTTTAGGAGGAGCTGGACTTCACCTGGCAGGATTCTCTTCCTCCCAAAGGAGCTGGATGAAGCCAGGCTGAGAATCCATCACAAAGAGGTTCTGTGGTCAGGGCTGTGCAATCCTGGCTCCATTTGGAAAGTGCCTCATAAATTCCCTAAATTAGGGGTTTGTAGCTGGAGGTTATTAAAACAGCTGGAGTATCTCAAGGTGGACAAGACTTTGGATGCTCAAAGAGACTTTTCTCACCTGGAAACACAGTGTTTTTCAGGAAAACAGCTGAGAAATCCACTTTTCCCTACCAAAATCCCCTCCCTCACCTTACACCAGGAAATGCCAAATTGGTATCTCAGATCTTCCTTCTGTGCCATTTTTTTTATTAATTTTAATCATTGTCTACATTTCCTGAAGAAATTCAACCAGATTTCCAGCTGATTTCCCCCTTTTTATAAACCTGCATAAAAATCTGACTTGGATGGAGAATTCTGTCTCCTGCAGGAATTAATTACGGTGAACATTAAAAAATGGTGCGATTACCAGTATTTTAAAAGCAGGGGAGAGGGGAGGGAATTCCCAAAGGAGACTGGAAAGGTTGGTGTCAGAAGACCCAGAGGGGTGCCCGGGGTGACATGGGCCCCTGGCAGGAAGCCAAAGACACTTGGGAATTCAATCTTAACCCATGGAGCAAATTAGCAACTTTGTATGAAGAATTATAAGTCACAAAAGTTTAAGTAGCACAATAGCAGTTGTCACAGGGTGAAAGGTGGGATTTTGAAGAATTTTACTATGGGGGTCTAGGAGACAAGATGGAGAAATTTAGGCATTGTCCTGCCATTCTTCCTTCTTCTTCCTAGTCTCCATCTTCTGGGTGATGTTAGCATATTTGGATTGGTTTAGAGTAGAAGTAGACTGTCTAACATAGGTGATAGGTATTGGAAAATAATTGTAAGTAAAGTACACATCATTTTTAGTATAATAAGACAACACCAACCCAGGGCAGTGTGCACTTGGCAGACCTGCAGACCAGACCTCTGCGGCTCAGGAAGAAAATATTTTAGATATTAGATAATAAACAACCTTGTGAACACGGGCTGAATAACTCCAACTCTTTCTTCAGCTGCCGGGCTGGGAAAAAAAGACTCTCAGGGTCATCCCGACTGCAGGAAACCCGAGAGGTTGGAGCCAGATGAGGTCTGACTCTTCTCCCAGGTTATGGGTTACAGAATGAGAGGAAATGGCCTCAAATTGTGACAGGTTTATGTTGGAAATTGGGGGGAATTCCTTACTGGAAAGGGTTGTCCAGCCCTGGCACAGCTGCCCAGGGCAGGGGTGGAGTCGTCATCCCTGGAAGTGTCCAAGAAATGTGTGGATGTGGCACTTGGGGACACAGTCCATGGTGGCCTTGGCAGTGCCAAGGAAATCATTGGACTTGATGATCCCAACCTAAATGATTCTGTGATTCAGAAGGGCTGGTGCTGGCTCCAGTGTGATTCCCCTCTCCACCCCTCCTCTTCCCACTTTGCACGTGCCTCATTCCAGACCTGCACTGGGCAACACTTCAGGCAATCCCCATGGACCATGGAAAGAAGTGTTGTGACCCCAGAGAGTGAGCAGCCACAGCTCCCTGTGGGAGAGGGCCCATGCCAAAATCCTGCCCTGTGCAGCAGCTGAAGTGAACCAGGTGTGAATTCTGAGCTTGCTGTAGCAGCTGGAGCCCAGAGCCCGAGTGAGGAGAGCAGCCATCCCACCCCACATGCCGTAATCCAGAGTGTGGGCAGCTGTTGTGATCGGAGCTGACACTGGATCAGCCTTGGCAGCACATCCCAACCACACCTGGACCTGTCAAGCTGGCTCCAGAAACAGGGATGCATCCCAAGAGATGTCCACGCATCCTGAGGATGAAATGGGAGCTTCCTGTCATTCCCTCCACTTTCAGACACAGCTGGCACAAAGGGATCAAAGGTTCATCCATCATCCTACCCAGAGAGATGGATTTTCACAGGACCAGGGTGTTACAACCACAGGGTCAACCTGGCTCTTTGTCTTGGGATTTAAGGATAAGTTTAAATTGCTTCCCAAAACTTCATCCATTAAAATTGCCCCTCTGGGCCACTTGTGCAGCTGTTGGAGCAGGGACTGAGGGCCCCTGTGTTGTTCTGGCCATCCTTAGCAGTCCCTGGGGCAGGTGGGGAAGTTCCTCCCACCTGGAAAAGCCTCTGAAACAGTGACATTAGTGTGACTTTTTGTGGACAATGAGGGAATCAGAAGAGCACCAGGATGGACATGTCGGAAACATCCAGAAATGTAGAGACAGACCCAAACTGGAGCACAACTGGGGCAGGAACCTGCCAAACTCCATCACCCTGATCCACCTCTGTCCATCTTCAACACAAACCCTAAATGGCAATAATAAATCCCAGTTCTCAGGCTGATGCTCAAGAAAACACCTCAACATTCCCAAAGAATTATCTAAATCAGCTCAAAATAAGGTCATGGAATGGCCTGGGTTGGGAGGGACCTTAAGCTCATCCAGTTCCTGCCATGGGCAGGGACACCTTCCACTGTCCCAGGGAGCTCCAAGCCCTGTCCAACCTGGCCTTGGATACTTCCAGGAATGGAGCATCCCCTGGGAAATCCATTCCAGGGCCTCCCCACCCTCTCTGGGAGGAATTTCTTCCCAATATTGCATTTGTCCCTGCTCTCTGGAAGTGGGAAGCCATTCCCTCTTGTCTTTTCTCTCCAAGCTCTTGTCCCCAGTCCCTCTCCAGGTCTCCTGGAGCCCCTTTAGGCACTGGAAGGGACTCCAGGGTCTCCCTTCCACCAGACCAGGTCACTCCAAGCCCCATCCAATCTGTTCTTGAGCACCTCCAGAGATGAGGTGCTCAAACCATAAACTCTTCAGAAAATAGAAATAAAAATAACAAAAAGAAAAAGGGGGAAAAAAGAACTATGGAAAACACAAAAGCCAAATTACTAAAATCCTGAGGGTGTCTCGGAAAACCGGATCCTAAGTACAAATGAAGGATCTTGGCAAGCCCCACTGGCAGAACAGAGTGAATAAATAAGGACATCAATGCACTTCTGACTATTTAAGAAGTACTGCCAGAGCCGTACAGTAGCACATGAAGAAATACTGTATTTAAATTTAATAACTGCCCCAATGAAGGAGATAAATGAGCACGAGAGAGATCTTGATCTCCAGCTGCCAAAGTTCCTGCATAATTACGGCCTTCAGTCACTTGGAACTGGGGCTGGGATGACACAGACACACTCATAAAGATGCCTCTAGCCCGCAGACTTTCCTTTTCTCCCCCACTCCGTCCCTGGAATAACCACAACCTCTCCCTGTGGTCAGCAAAGGCAGCAAGGACTTGGAGGAAAAAAAAAAAAAAAAAAGGAGTGAAATGTCAAAAACCTTGTGGTTTTTGCAGAACAAGAGGTGAAACATTGGTACTCTCCAAAAGTTTATCCTATTTTAAGCCTGAGGTTTCCCAGCTGCAAGAATATATATATTGTCCTAATGATACAGATAGTCCAAAGTGGATCCCACATTCATCATTTAGGGCACACGGAGATCAGATGGAGTTTCCCTCACACAGACCTAGAGCTGGGTGAGACTGGAAGTCGCTATTAAACCACAGGAAAAAAATCCCTCTATCAGGGAATTTTTAGAATCCTATGAATTCTCAACACTTTGTGGTAAATAGTGAATGTTTCTGGTGAGAAAACTGTAACTGGAGGGGGTTTGGGAAGGCTCTAAATGGGAGGTATTTGTTCTGTGCAGACAGGCAGTGCTCGGGTGGTTGGGAGTGATTTTGGTGGTGGATATCTTCTTTTGCCTTTGTTGAGCAGCAATGTTTTATGGAAACGCTCTGCTGGATCCAGGGCAGGGAGTGCAGGGAGGGGAAGGAGCAGTGCTGGGTGCCCCAGACAGGGCAGGTAAGGAGGAACAGGACCCATCACTGGGCTACTCCATCAGGAGCTGCTCCAAAACACAAATGGAAGGAAGCAGCTGGGAGATCACAGAATTCCAGAGCAGGAGGAACGAGTGCTACCACAGAGGAATTTTATTTGGAGGGGAAGGAGGACACGAGTAGATGAAGTGGAGGCCAGGATCTCTGGCACAGCATGGAAAACCCTGGTAGAGGTTGAAATCAAGTCCAAGATCCAATGAGAGCGAGGGAAGCAAAGATCAGTGTGGGAAGGGCTGGAAAGCCCTCAAAGAGCAGGAA